TGTCTTGCAGCATCTAATTAAACCTTTTGCTGTTTTCAAGTCAACTACAGGATTAGTTAATAGGTGATTGATCCAAGATTTCAAGTTCAAGCCTCCCTTTTTAAGCAAGTTCTTTTTTCAACAAGTAGGAGCTGGATGCTTTGATATTAACGCTACCTTTCATGCAAGTGGTGAAGCTTCTGGAATGTATGATCAGTTAGAAATGAATGATCCAACAATGTGCATTGTGTTCCCTCTTTATTCATCTCAAGTCACAACCAAGATTACGGCACAAACACAGTTGCGTTAACTACTGCTTAAAATGGATTGACTAGCAAATTAGCTTCAAGATCTAACAACTTGATGAAAAATGGTGGTGCTCACAGGATCCATCATAGACTCATAGTTGCAACTACAAGCTTCTACCCTCCAAAGAATGCCCTCTTTGGTAAGGCAAGCTTCGTCTTCTCATCTCTCAATTGTTCAAAGAGATTCTATATCATTTCATCAAGACAATGCTAAGCTTTAATTCACTTTTGAAGGACATGGATTTTCTGAGTTATTGTTGTAACTTCGCCTGATCAATTCCCTTAATCAAGGACAATTCGAGGATATATATGAAAGTGGATGGAGTAATGCTTCGAGGCAGCATTATGCAAAAATCATTTCAAGGTGCATTGTCACATTTTAATCCTTTAATATGTGCAAAATTTGAATGTTAAAATCCAAGTTATTAATTGTAGTTGAACTTATTGTCAGACTAATTTATGCCATACTCAAATTATGTTAACTAACCATTTCAATTTCTAATTTCTTCAGGATTCCTTTGTTGTATATATCCATACATCTGGCATTGAGAAAAGTCTTCATGAACTCATACATGAATGGCATGGGGCTTGGACTTTGAAATATATCGAGTGAGGAGAGCTTTAAACAATGGCTAGTGGTTGGTTTTGATCATCGTTGCAAAAACAATAGAAAGACAGTGAGGGTGAGTTGCAACAGCGGCAAGGTCAGTAGAGGAATTAGTTCTGGCAGATGATCAACAGTGATTTGGTCTCCAGTTTCTCTTGGAACACACTCAGCACACTTGGTGAGATTTATCCCAATTTGATGGGAGATTTTGACTTCCAGCTTTATTATGGTGATGACTATGATATTAGTGATCCAAGAATTTATTCTTGATGATTTATTGTTGTATACAACTTCTGGTGTTTCCTAAAGTAGAAAAAACTTTGTTGTTAAGTTTGATTATTTTCCGTGTAAGTGGGTAGAGAGAGAAGAAGAATACTTGTTGAGTGTGGTATTTGGTAACCCTCTTTGGAAGAGTGTATTCTACATAGATTTTTTTTTATGCATGCATTCCCAAAGCTTGAAAAGCTCATTGTTATCTTTCTATTCCCTATTCAAGTTCAAGTGATTAGCTATTGTATACCATGAAGTCATCAACAGTACTGCACATCACCTACAAAAAGTTAGCATAAGAAAATCAATAGAGAGGCTCAACGTTAGTAACAGTTTTGATTATAAGCTACATACCTTATAATCAGTCCCTGGTGAATATTTAAATTAAAGCTAATAGCTAGTGTTTGGATTTGAAAATATATATATTTTTTGTCCTAAGGAAAATATGTAAAATGAAACATTTAGATGATAAGTTAAACCTTGGATCAGGTTAAAACTTATGCACTATGCAATTCATATATATTGTTTCTTGCACCTCTTCATTTCCAGATGAAGTTCAAGACTTTCATTTCCTTTCAATCTCTTCATCTGAAAAAATGCATTCAATTGCCTCCAAAATGTTTTATGATTTCATTAACCTTTTCAGGTTGTTTTGTTGGAAAGGGATTGCGGAGTTCAACTTTACATTAGAAATATCTATATTGATGAAAGCCCTACATAAGCTTTCGAAATGATGTTCTTAGGCAAAGCCAACCTCGTAAACTCATTGTTTTGAGCCAACAATTTTAGACTATTTGACCAGGTATATATGATGGACCACCGTTGATCTTTAGAGGCTCATTATCAGATAATTAAATGTAAATTGACCTTCTTCCTAGCTCTTCATTTTAAGGATGAAATTGTCCTTGGGTATATGGGTAAGAAACTAACAATATTAATGGACAAGTTATCTTCCATCTCTGTGTTTTTCTTTCTTTTTCTTTTTTTTAATTCTTAAATCTCAATTATCAAAGGTCTTTTTTCCACATAAAGGAAGAGCTTTTGACCATGGAAAATGTTTAGATTTATGGTTTTGGCACAAACACATCTGGATCAATCACTCCTTCCTTTGAAAATTACAGGGCATTGGTGTTTTTCTTCTAACATTTCTTGCCAGATCAAGGACAGTTTTAAGAACACATATCAAGGTGGATGCAGTAATGCTTTGAGGTAGTATTATGTGTAAATTATTCCAAGGTGCAAGACTGTCACATTTAATCCTTTAATACGGACAAAAGTTGTAGATAGACTATTTCTGTCATACCAGACTAATTCATGGATTTACACCCGTGAGTTCATTTGATAATTAATTAGACCATTTTTCTTGGTTCAAAAAGCACAATAATTATAACTGCCATTTTTAATTTCTTTTTTCAGTATCCATCTGCTGTGTCATTCCAAAAATAGTAGAGAAATTTGTGAGGGTGAGTTGCGACAGTAGTAAGAATGTGTGATTCGGCTGGATCAACTGTTCTTGGGTCTTGGTTTACCCCCTTCGATGAGAAAAGAAAAAGGCAGATTCATCAACAATTATTTCAGCCAGCAATGATGCTTGTTCGGGCAACTTGAGGAAAAGTTAATAGTTTGTAGAAATAATGCTTTGTTTCTTGGTCTTCCACCACATTGGATGTTTATGATGTTTTCAGCACTAACAAATGTTGAGCTTTCCCCTTTTCCTTGTTTATGAATGTAAAATATATATCTTAAAATCACGTAAAATTTTACTCTGAATATTAGTGATAATTTGAGCACTCAGCTCTTTTTTTTTTTTTTTTGAGCAATGCTAAGGGCAAGCGCCCTTCACCACTGCTCCATCACTCTCCCCACCACGTTTCCATGTAGCACCAATATTAGATCCCTAAATTTTCGATCTTGATTAAGTTATATTCTCTTTAAGAAATAAAATGAAAATATCTAAATTTTTTAACAAATGTGTATAATCTTATTGGCAAAAACTCTTCACTTTAGTTAGGATATTCTTTATTTTTAAATTGACTTGATAAGCTGATGGGCCGCCACTTCTAATTTGGTTATCCTATTCATTTTTTCAATTTCTTATGCTAAATTAATAGGTAACACTAATTATCTCGATCTTCAATCTTGACTTTATTATGTTCTCATTGATGTATAGAGGTGAATGGTCTAAATCCATCCTTCAAGTGAGTCTGCTTTCTAATGAAAAATCCAATTAATTACACTAGTAGAAAAATTGGTCATATAGACATACAGTGTCAAATAGTTAACTATAGGATATCAAAAAATTAATTGACACAGAATTAATACATTTATCTTTATTATCGTTAAAACTCAATTTTGGTTTAAAAATAAGTTATTTTAATTATTTAAAAAAATTTATTAAAATAATATAATATTGAAGTTTTTTC